AATCGAGAATCGAAATTGCTTTTATAATAATAAAATGTTTATTTACATTTTTATTTTTAATCTTACATCTACGTGTAAAACGAGAAAGAGCAAAGCGTACCATTGAGATAATAATAACGCGAGAACGAAACTAAAGTCAAATCGAGAGTATGAAGTATAATTTTGAGATAAATCCTGTGCTACTCGTTTCCCTTAAAATTTCGACAACGCTTCGGTACGGTTGGCGCCAAGCAACGGTTCGAACGCGCAAGGATAATAACACGAAGTAGTCCGCATAATTTCGTGATAAATCGTCGTTCAGGGACTTCAAAAGCCACACTCGTTTCCTTCCTATCTTCCACGCTTCGACTAGACTGGAGCGTCACTATACGGCTTCCCTTTCATCGACTATAACAATGGCGTTACTGCGATTACTCTTTTACCCTGAATCATCTACCCCGATATTCACAGTCTCGCTTAATTTTTTCCCTCTTTTTTTTTTTTTCTATGCTCTTGAACGATTGATTGTTTTACACAACATACATAAAAAAGAAAAAGAAATGGTTTCTAGTTAATCTTTATAGTTAATAGATATTGTTTCGACGTGAAATAGTGCCAGAGGCTCGGGGAGAAATTTCAATTTAAAATGAAGAAAAATGAGACGGATGATAATGCTGAAAATTTAAGACTCGATAAATATATTACTTTTATATATAAATATATATATATATATATATATATATATATATATGACGAATAAATTATCATATTATATAAATTATCATTACGCAAAGTTAATGATCAAAACAATATTTCGTGTTCAAAAAAAAAAAAAAATTAAGAAGAACAAATTTTCAAATTGTTTTTAATCCAAATAATATCATTAATTTATTACATTAAGACACGTTGAACGTACTGGACAAGACTGTTAGGAAGGTTCAACAAAGTTTCGAATGTAAGTAAATGAATTCGAGAGGGTCAGACGAAAGCAGACGCAGCTTAGGTAAACATTTTTACGTTATTATGAGGATCCGAGAGTGGATATTAAGTAAACGCCTAGCAGCGTTGAGAAATCGTTGTAGAGTAGCCGAATAGCGTCGTTCCTGCTTAAACCAGCCCTCTCTCTCATCCTTTCTTCGAACTAGTCGGATCGAAAATTCGACCCCCTAAACCTCTGACTTTTACCCTCCTCCACTTCCTCTTTCTCCTACTCCTCTTTCTCCCTTTCTTCCTCTTCTTCCATTCTCGATGTCGAGGTAATCGCGAGATTGAACGGACGTCTCGTTCGCCGCTCGAGTAGTTAATCGCGATTTTCAAGAGCACGAGGAGCCATTGGGGGTGGCGGATAAAACGTCGTACTTTGCATTTCGGTAAAGCCAACGAACTCAGTCGATTTTGCCATTCATCCTTCTTTTTACCGTTTCCTTTTATTTGCGAAAATGGATCGTTCACTACGATAACCGTATATCATCGGCTAAACCAAGAACAGTGCGTTTATGCATCGTAAAAATATAAAAGGAATGAGAGAGAGAGAGAGAGAGAGAGAGAGGGAGGGAGGGAGGAGAGGAGCGGAGTGAGAAAGGAATTTCTCATCGTTTACAAGCAGTCTGAATGTACTTCTTTCCTTTTTTAATTTTTTTTTTTTTTATTTATTTTATTTTTCTTTTCATTTTTTTGTTTTTTTTTTTTTTCTTATCATTAGGAGAACTACGGTCATGTAGACATATCCCATGAATCTATAGATACATTCTTCTTCGTTTATTTTATATTAGAGTGATTAACGGGATTGAGATCCATTGGAGTAGATTTAAATAATCTAATTCTTTTTATGATACGAATGAATTTTTTCTGTAGGATAAAAGTTTCTTTTTTTTTTTCCTATTAATATCCACGGAATGGTTTTTCGTTTGTTTGTTTTTTTTTGTTTTGTTTTCAATTATTAGATATGATAATAGCGAAAATAAATGTGAGATGTTTGTTTTGCAAAGAAAAATATCGATTTTTTTCATTTGCAAAATTTCTAAGAACATTCGCTATTCATTGACACGATTCATCTGATAAAGTACACGTACAGAGAAAGAGAAGGAGAGAGAGAGAGAGTGAGAGAGAGAGAGAGAGAGAGAGAGAGAGAGAGAGAGAAAAAGAGAGACATAGTATTATACGAGAAAAAAAGATATATTATCATCAGATGGACCCGGAGATTCTCGTACTAGACAAAGTAAAATTTTACCGAAGTAAAAATTGAAAGGGATATATGAAAAAAGAATTAAGAGGATTGTTGGGGATCTCCTGGGATGGCAAGTAAATGCGATAGGCAGGTGTCACGCCATCGAGTTACCCCCTGGTGCGACGATCACGCAGATTACGATGGTCTCGTGCACGAGTTTGTCTCGGGGGTGCTTACCCCTTTCCCGCCAACCACCCACACTTCTCCCCAGCAGCTCTCCTCACTCCCACAAGTAACGGACTTGGTTACGTTGACACTGCATCACGAAGCACTAACCACGTTATTTATGTTGCCTCGTAAAACTTGTGGCGTGCCTAAACACACTATTCCTTACGATCCTCTCGAGCTTCCCCCTTTTTCCTAAAGATCGGACACGTACACACGTTCTAGCAAATTGTAGTTACGAGTGGCCCGGGGAGGGGTGGGAGGGGGAAGGGAGGGGGAGGGACGTGGGATGAAACGAGGTGGTTTTCGGATGGGGAGGTGTTTAAGGAGGGAAATGGGTTGAGAGGTTATCGAAGGATAAAAGGATAAAACGTGTTGCTTTTCTATTTCGAAGATTTCACAAGGATCGTCCTCGACCGGGGGATTAGAATAGTCCACGTAATAGAAATTATAAATAAAATTACGTATTATAAATTACGAATTATAAATAAAAAATATAAATATGATAATAGTCAACGTACCAATCAGCGTGAATTTTTTCGTGAAACATTCGTGCCCGAATTAATGCGGGAATATACCCGTAGTAGAAAACAAAAAAAAAAAAAGGAACGTATTATGTACGTACTTCGAGTGAATTTTCGATAAAATCATTGATTCGTAAAAAGTTTATTTTTCACGTATTATATGTTCATTAACCGAGTCTAGTAACTCGATATCGCTTATTCCAACATTTCCGATACGTACCATACATACGTATGTATGTAAATACATAGATTCATGAGCTCGATCCGCGATTACATTTCTATTCGCGCGTAATGTGTTCGCTAGTAACGTATTTACGTTGCATGCATATCCAACAAAATGAGTCTTAGATTAAGGAACTACTTGATTTTGTCAAGAATGATATATCGTGGTAAAGAATATACCCGTAATTCGCATGTAATAACGATCGATATTATTAATTTTTTGATTTTTTTGAGACGACACTTTTTCACTTTTTTCTTAACCTTTTTTTCTTTTTTTTTTCTTTTCCTTTAATCACTTTTCAAAGACTAAAACGTTCGCGTTACGTTATTTATTCACAAAAAGAAATTTGCTTTCAGTTACCATATTCTATGGAGTTGGATTACGATGTAGTGAGAGTGGCGGGTGCAGCTTCGGGCATGATGGCTTTACTGTCTCCGAGGGTGAACGTGTCGGCCAAAGGCGAGGTCCCCGTCGTCCTGCAAGTCTTCAGGATCAGACTGCCTTGTTCCGGTCTCGTTAGCGCCGAAATTCCTTTGGCCCTCAGGCTGAACGTCACCGCACCTCCTGGGACCAAGTATAACGACACCATACTGGTTTTCAAGAGGAACAAAATCTGCTTGAAGGGTGCGTCGGATCATTAAGAACCGTTTTCGAATATAATATAATATAGTATAATATATATACATATATATATACATATATATATATATATATATATACATGCGCGCACGATACACATACGAAGCTAAAATTTCCACGGAGTCTATGGTATTTTGATAAAATTTACATGTCCTTTTAAAGGCATTATTTTACTTTAATTATTCTCATAAAATATTTGCGGTAATATATTTTGATAATGAAATTTAAATAATAACAGTATAGACGATTTTATTACGATTATATAAACTTTTCATCGGTAGTACCATATTATAAATATATTATACGATATATGTTATAATATATATTTATAATGTACGACACCGTATAAAATTATACTTAAAATTATTATAACTATAATACCAAAATCGTTCTCGAAACGTCGCGATATTTTTCCCAGTCGGGGAAATTGTCATTTTCGTTTTTGCCCTCGCATTGTTTTCGTTATTTTCCAAATGCAAACGAGTCGAGGTTCGTGCGTACAACGGACGAGCTTTCACGCGAAGTACCTTTGTCTCTAGCGTATACGTGTGCCACTCGATAATTACTTCGTTTATGTAATCGCGAATTTAATTAGCGTGTTGGACGAGTTCACGGAATGCCTTCGTTACGGAATTTCGAACGTGTCACGTTAAAAACACACGCCATCGTGCCTCGTCCCACGCGCGGATGCATGCACGCACCCATATACACGTATACATACATGCACTCGCATACACATACACAAGTAAACTTCTATAGACATATATATATATATATATACATACATATATATACACACAAACACATATGCAGGAACGATCCCTTTTAAACGCTCCAACTCTATACGTGCGATTTACGACCCTTTGTGTAACCTGCGGCCACCGACAATGGCGATACATGATTTATCAAACAAGAATTTCGTACATACGTACCGACGCTCGTAGAGGCGTACAAACTCGATGCCCAGCTTCGATGCTTTTCCCGCTTTGTCCATGCCGATTAAACTCGTTACACGGATGAGTGAGCTACTCAAAATTCCATTTTCCCAGTGAGACTATTCCATTTGCGATATTCTCTTGTTATTTTTAATATATATCGATATGTCCAAGAATTCGATAGTTTTCTTTTCATTTCTGGAAGCCCTTTTTATTCCCTATCTTTTTTATTTTCTTCTTCTTCTTCTTCTTCTTCTTCTTCTTCTTCTTCTTCCTTCGAGTTTTTTTTTCTATTCGCTTTATTTCGCAATATTTGAAATTATTAATACTGACAAATAAATTGCACCTGTTAACCCTTTGACTCCGAACATACACATGGGACAATAGTAAACAATCGAAGCCTTCGTCGGACGCATATATGCGCCCATAGCAGTCAAAGGATTAACGAGTGAGTAAAATATATATTTATTATTTCAATCGTTACGTTTAATAAATTAAATGACATTTTTCACGAGTGTAATAAAATTTCAAGTGAAAGTAATATAAATTATAACATCGTTTTTATATCGGAAGAAAATAAAATCATTCCTTTTTGTTATTAATTATTTTATATGTAATTCTACGAGATATATTATTATATCGAATACGATAAATTAAAGGAAAAATAAAAAAAAAAAAACAAAAGAAAAAAGGAAAAAGAAATACGAGGCAATTTGTCATTAGTCGACTTTTCTTTATACCCATAGGCCAGTCTTAAAACGACAAACTCCGGTACGATCGTCGATCTCTGTTGGCAAAGACTCGCGAGTCTGGCACGATCTCTCTTCCTGTTCCATCGATACGGCTGATATATATTTCGCGAAAGAATTAATGGTTTCGCGTACGGTGATGGATGCAACTCGACGCGTGACACATAAATTTCACCGTTCGGCTGTCAATGAAACGTCGTTTCGCAGGCACGAAAATCGAAGGGTACGAATCGTAGACGTCGCCTGCAGTTCGACGAATACTATACCTTTTTTCTTTTTTTTCCTTATCCTTTTCTCCTTCTAACCTTTTTATTTATTTATTCTTTTTCTTCCTCAGCCCTTTCGTTTCTTTCCTTTTTTTCTGTTTTTTTTTTCTTTCTTTCTTTCTTTCTTTCTTTTTTTTTTTTTCTTTTCCGTCGTCAAAACTTTTTTTTCCTCTACCATTCGCAAAATATTCACGTGCAATGTGGGCGTGCACGTGTTTACGTGTTTACATATCGAACGACTGAAGGATGGTGGAGGATGACATACAGTCAGGAGACGATAGAAAGGATATATAAGAAAAGGCGAGAGGAAAAAAATTAAGAAAAAGTGATAGAGAGAGAGAGAGAGAGAAAGAGAGAGAGAGAGAGAGAGAGAGAGAGTCGACAAACAAGGATTCAGATCCAGTTACCGAGAGAAGCAAAGTTACAACGGAAAGCAATCCGCCCTGAAAAATTCGATCTCTGGGGATCGGTGTATTTAATGAAAGAGAAAGAGAAGGACGACAAGAGAAAGAAAAAGAGAGAGAACGAGAGAGAGAGAGAGAGAGAGAGAGAAAGATCAAGAGAGGTCAGAGGATAGCCTTGAATAAGTATAGAAGAGTGGGGAGAAATTGAAGAGGAAACCTCATCGATATATTTGTCCCATTTTTCCGAGATAACGCGCGCAGACCAAAAAGATATTCCCCTTTGTTGATCTACAGTATAGAATCTCGACTTCCTCTTTTTCCTCTTTCTCTACTTCTTCCTCTTCGTCTTCTTCTTTTTTTTTTTCTTCTTGGGACGAAGGATCGGTCGAAGGGCGTCGTTGCTATCGAAGATATCCCGCGGCAATCCGAGCTCAAACCTCGAGACCACTCGAAAGTAAACGAGTCTCGTACTGAAAGAGATAGAAGAGAAAGAGATAAATAAGTAGATAGCTAGAGAGTGAGAGAGAGAGAGAGAGAGAGGGAGAGAAACAGAGAAAAAGACAGACAGAAAGATTCTGGGAGTCTCTCGATGAGTTCTTCTCTTCTTTCCTAGTGATCGAACGAGTACAGATTTGTAGTTTTATCATGTAATTGGGAGAAAAGTGTGTTTTTATTTTCTCGAGAACGAATATATATATATATATATATATATATTTTTTTTTTTTTTTTATACTAAAGGCCTATCTCCGTTAATGATTCTTCATATATATAATTTTTATGTTAATTTCAGTTTTAATCTTCAAATCTAAATATATAATATAATAGATATTTAAATATATAATATAATAGAATTATTTCTATTAACGTTTAATCATATTTAAACGATTTTATTATTTTTAAAAAAGTTTACAAATGAATTTCCTTTTTTCTTTTTTTTTTGTTTCTTTTCCTTTTTCATTCAGTTCGAAGATCCTTTATTATATTCGTGTTTTTTTTTTTCGAAAAAAGGCATCGAGGTTAAGGATCGATCGAGTGAATTTGAGGGAAGAGATTTTCCATCTTATATTAACTGGTAATAAGAAGATTCGTGTGCGAGTCTCGTAGGAATTAAATTCGTGGTCGAGAAGGACGGTGATTTTGGCTCGAGTCCTGGATAGCAATTCGGTAGAAGGGTCATACAATTAATTCGAAAGGGACTTCATTTCATGCTATCCTAAATCTCGGTTAATGTCTGTTTGATACTGTCTGATAACACTTTATTCTAGAATTGAACTAAAAGGCCTATCTCGGTCGTTAATGATTCTTCATTTTCTACCTTGAAAACTTTTTCCTTCCTTTCGGAAATTTGCAACAGAGAACTTGTTGAAAAGTTTAATTGCATCATCGAAAAATTTCAAATATTATTCCTTTATCTATGAAGATTTTTACGAATTCAATATTTTTAATTTTAATTATTTACTTGATCCTTAATATAACAATTTATTTTTATTTACAATACGATAATACACATTTCTCATAAAAGATTATTATTTTTGGAAGAAAATATTTTTAAATTATAATATTGCATTTGAAGTGGAATGTAAAATTAGATATATAGATTTTGAATGTGAAAATTGAATAACATATATCTAGATAGTTTCATTGAATGAAATCAAATCAGGCCGATTTAGACCTGATAAGATATAAAAATAAAAAAATTGAAAAATGTGTAGTTCAGTTTATTAATACTAATACTCTAATTCATACTAATTTAATTGTTAGATTGCACTTGAATGGAATATGACTTATACAAGTTTATATATCGATATGATAGGTACACGATAGATAACACTGTTCCTTTATTGCTTTTTTCTATTTCATATTTTGTTCATATTTAGAGCTGAATTTCATACACACTTCGAACGAAAAATGGCGAACAACCTTCAGGATAATATTACACTCGTTATGCATTCATCTCCCGCGTGATTTCCATTCTCTCTTTAAGATATTTCATCCTCGTTCGATTTTAGAGAAAAATTCACCCTTCTGATATTATTTTGCATCGAGTAGAGAGAAGATAGTAGAATTTTCTTCTTTTTCTCTCTCTTTCCCTTCTCTCTCTCTCTCTCTCTCTCTCTCTTTTTTTTTCCTTCTATTCCTTTTTCTGAACATTTCTTTCTTCACGCGAAACTTTTCATCTTTAGCAAACAGGTTTCGAGGCTGTTGCCTTATTTACTTGTTCTAATACACAGAGAAGGGATGACTTTTGCTTTTCCCTTCATTGGTGCGGAAAGGTCTCGATTTACGAAGTAACTTGGACTAACTCCAGAAGAGCTGGAACATTAAACAAAACTTATGAAAAAAAAAAAAGGAGAAAAGAAGAAAAAAATAAAAAGGAAAACATCTATCAAAGAAATCCGTGCTTTCGTTCAAGGAACTAATCTTGGCGTGGCATTACTTTTTCGTTTTCTTCGAGAAAATTTTTTTTATATACATGGAATAAGACATGAAAAAAAAAAATATATATATATATATACATATTTGTTAGATAAAATAATATAATATAAATCTGTTATAACGAAATTTACTGTCCTACGTGATATTTTTTTACTTATTGGCAAATTTATCAATATATATTATATCTTAATTTTAATCGCCATTATGATCAGAATTAAAGTGTGAAAAAAAAAGAGAAAAAGAAAAAAAAAAAAAAGAAAAGAAATATATACAAACGGAATAAGAATTCACATGAAATAAATTAAAAAGAAAATTGTTTAAGAATGTTCGACAATTTTGATGGTGACTGTACGCGGTAAAAAAGTCATCGTTTGGCTGTTCGAGCTTCGTGAGATGAGATCAAAGAGATCTCTTTGAGTACTTTCCATGGTTCGTCGAAGCTGCTAGCCCGTTGGCTTCGGATGGACATGGGTCGTGATACGTCCAATGTATAAACGTACAATCATACATATATACATACGTATATGCAAATACAATACGTACGATGGTGTATGGTGTACGGTATCATCGATCGACGAATGAGAATGAAAGAGAGAGAGAGAGAGGGGGGTGGAAGGGAGGAGGAAGAGAAAGTGAAAAAGAGAGAGGAGACGCGAACGGAAACTACTTCTACGATGAAATCGACGCGACTCTCTCGATGGAAGGGACACGTCGGATCTATCGACGAGTTCGATCGCCGAGAAAACGTCCTGTCGAGAGCATTTCCTCGATTTAATAACGTTTTAACGCTCTTCTACGTACTTTCAATTTGACGATAATAAAAGTCTGTCGATGACAAAGAAAACGCAAATTTTTTTGTTAATTTCAACGAGCTTATTTTAATAAAAAAAAAAAAGAAAAAAAAAGGGAAAAAAAACGTCGGCTCCCAGCGAATATAACTTTAATAATTTCCGCTTGTCGTTAATTCTCTTTAGACGATATAGAGACCTATAATTAAAAAAAAAAAGAAGTATCGAAAAAATGAACTTAAGTTCTTAATTTTACTAAGATAATAACTTTTTAAATTACCTCGTACAAAATTACATTGTATCGATGTGATATTGTCTATTAAAAATATATCTATCTTATTTGAAATAATATATTTTTATGAGTTATAAAATATATTCTTTAAATTGACATGAGTATTTTTAATCCGATTGTATGAATTATCTCTCTCTTTTCTCGTGACACTCATTACTATAAGGAAAAAAAAGGAAAAAAGAAAAAAAAAAGAAAAAAAAAGCAAACGGATTTATATAAAACCGGAATAATTTATAGCAATGCTAAAATCTCGTTTCGACGATATCGTTATCTCAGAGAAATACGATAAATATAATAATATTAAATTCGATAATTCATCGGAAAGCAAATTGGTCTCGATAACGAAGCATGCGCGAGCCAATGAATCGAAAGAACTCGTTGATCGTGTAAAAAGGATCGTTTGTTAGCGCGTATGTAGTATGACGAATTTTGGGGATATAAATGAGAAATGAGGGCTTATCGTAACAGCAATGAAATTATTAATTATATACATCGTTTGTAAAATATCATATGGAAAAATATGTGAACGTGAAATTGTACGTCATATGGAAATACAAATATCTGTTATCGAAGTAATTAAAATTGATTAAAAATTTTCCCACGTAATTGAAAATATAAAATTATATACGTATATAAGAAAAAATATGTCCCATTTCATTTCAACGTTTAAAGTATGATTTATTTTATTTATAATAATATTTTAGAAGAAAAAATATCGGCCACATATATATATATATATATATATATATATATATGTCGTTTATAAGATCGAATCTTTTTTATTCGTAAAACTTGATTCGATTTCACGTTACGATAAAAAAGAATTTATGAGGACACTCAACATTTGTGGTATTTTTTTTTAGGAGTCGAAACACCCCCACGTAACGAGTCAGTACGTTTGGAGCCTGGTCCTTTGGTGAATGGTGCTGGTGCGCTCTATGTTGCTGCCACTTGTGCCTGTGCTTTGATACTAGTCGTTGGCAGTGTCGCCAGTGCTTTGTACATTCGCAATAGCAAGGCACGAGTTCAAGAATCTCAGTAAGTATTTTGTAACATACGAGGATATTTTTTTTCATTTTTTTTTTATATATATATAAAGATAAGCGAAAATGAAAAATATTCTCTTTTCCACGAAAATATTACTTTTAATAAACAAATTTTCAATAATTTCTATATGATCATGTATCGAAATTTGTAACTATATAAATTCCTAATAACCTATTATAGAATTTTAATACACATCGAACAACAGTAAAAATATGAAATATAATAAAAATTATTCATTGTTAATATAATATATTTGAAATACTTGATACTTACAATTAATATCAGTGTTAAAATTCTATACAATTTTATCATGATAATTATATATCAGGATAAATTTCATTGGATTTTTTTTATTAGAAATAAGAAGCGAAAAATCGCAAATGTAAGCGCCGCGAGTTCGTGTTTCTTCCTATTTCTTTCTCCTCCCCTACCTCATCTACCTCCTCCTCCTCCTCCTCCTCCTCTTCCTCGTCGAGAAGAAAAGCAAAAGGCAAGAAAGGTACCATCCCTTTGGAAAAGGAAAAGGAAAGAAGTAGGATTTTTGCTTCAGAGCCCCCGCGAGAAATTCGTCGGATAAGCTGGATAGGAACTCGTCCGAATGAAATATCCTTTCAATAAGACCCGGTGATCTGTCGGTCGCTTGGCACGCCATCCGACATTTTATTGCACGACTATACCAATCGGTTCCTTCAAGATCTGTCCTCCCACGGCTTGAGCTGCTTCGGCAAGACGAAAGATGAAGTAGAAGCACGTTTCTTCCATCCCCCATTTCGACCCTTGAATCCTACCATGTTTTTACACGAGTAGCTCGTGTCTTTTCTTCCGAGTTTATCCGTGTCATAGTTTAATTTTACGAGCCAGGATAACATTGTCGTTCTTTCAATCAATAACTTTTCATCTCTATTCTGTTTCTATTTTTCTTCTTTTTTTTTTTTTTTATCTTCTTTCTTTTATTTCACACTTACTCGTAACATAATTATCAAGTTTCTTAATCAAAATGATACGTCAGGGTGTGTATGTTTTTTAACGACGACGAAAAAAAAAAGAAGAAAGAAAAAGAATAAGTTCTTGTTCCTATTAAATCAGTATGTACCAAATAAATAAAAGAAAAAAAAAAAAAGAAAAAAATGAATAGAAACCAACAAGACAGGAATTAAACCTGGTACAAGTGATAATGCGATAGAAAAGAAGATATTAGAAATTTTCTTTCTTTTTCATTGAAATAACGTAAATTGATTATCTGACTTCACATCATTTTATATAGAGTACGTTACACATGCAGATTTATAATTATATCGTCTTCCTATAATCAGAAAAAAACAAAGAAGAAGAAGAAGATGAAGAAGAAGAAGAAGAATAAAGAAATCATTATCGTTCTTCATTAGGGCCAGCATCAAATATTAAACTACATGATTATATCCGTAAGTTGGTTTGATATAGGATGATAGACGGGAACAGAGGGGATAAAATTCTTCGAAGGTACTCCCTATCTTCTCATTCGCGATGGAAGAACCACAACGCGGGCCAATTGTCTCCCTCGAGATATATTAGCTCTTTTGAGGCTCTCCACCCTGATAACGCGCGGGAAAACGGAGCTTCAGGCTTTCTCTCTCTCTCTCTTTCTCTCTCTTTCTCTCTTTCTCTCTCTCTCTACCTGTCTCTCTTACACACGAGACATTTTCCCTTCTAGGCCACGAGAAAGGGAGAAGATACAGATTTTACATTCGTTCGCTCGAGAGAACACAGTCAACCCCCCCCACTCCTTTTTCAATCCCACCCCTCCCTCCCCTGTAACCCCCTCCCTCCTCCCTCTCCCCACGTCTTCCTACATTTCCTTGATCCTTCCTCGTTCCTACGTCGAACTCAACGCACAAAAGGCGTTCCTGCGATTCGACTCTCTCGGAACTCTAGTGGTGGTAAAGTAGTAAGGGATGTTAAAGTGATGCACGAAAGAGACGAGCGTAGAGTAGAACTTTCTTCGAAGAGTAGAATTTCCTTGAGCTATTCTACTTACCCGTTCCAACATTTTAACGTGTTAATATACATGTTGTAGATATACATAGAGTAGGTATGTGTGTCGTCGAAGGAACGATAAAGTTTTAAGAAGAAGAAAATAGAAAAAAAAAATAACAGATCTTTTAGATAGAAAATAGAGAGAGAGAGAGAGAGAGAGAGAGAGAGAGAGAGATATTTTATATTATTATTTCAAGCGGGCTACATCTCAAGAGACTTCCAAGTTTAGAAATTTATTTTCACTGGTTCATTGATATGTACGTTGGACGATCTAACCTTGGATACCTAATACCATATCGTCTTCATTCTCTTTTCTCTCTATTTCTATTCTTCTTTTATCGTTTTACTAATTTATAATCGGGCCAAGGAAATATATAGTCCAATGGAGAAATTCGGATGCAATACTACCGATACTTTTTTATCTCTTGAAAAGTTTGCGGAATGTGTTCGGAAATAGAGGAAAAGAAAAAAATAGATAGATAGATCGAAATAGAGAGAAATAGAGAGAAATAGAGAGAGAGAGAGAGAGAGAGAGAGAGAGAAAGAGAGAAAAAGCGATATGAAGAAAAAGAGTGAGAGAAAATTCTGGTTGTCAGTATTCCAGTTATTTCGAATGTCGCTGACGAAACACGATTCTCTTTCTCCCTTTTTCTACTTGCTTTTTCTTTTTCATTTTTTTTTTCCTTTTTATTTCGCTCACTCGACTTTTCGGTAAATTGTACCGGCAGATTTACATACACGAAATGGGCAATAAATCCATGAAAAATATCGACGGTTCTGTATCGAATCGATGCGCGCGAGAAAGAGAGAGAGAGAGAGAGAGAGAGAGTGAGAGAGAGAAAGAATGACAGAGATAGAGAGAGAGAGAAACAAAGAAAAAGAGAATCTACTCTCACCAACGATGTTCTACGTTTCGATTTTCTTCTCTCTCTCTCTCTCTCTCTCTCACTCTCTCTTCCTCTCTCACACTCGTCCTTTTTTTATTTTTTATTTATTTCGTCGTACGATATATCGTATATCTTGTCAGGCATCGTGACGTTCTTTAATAACGAACTATCGAGGGTGGAAGCAAAGCTACCCTTTTACAAAGCGCATTGGCCCGCGGGCTACGAACGAATTTCACACGTCACTATCGGATCTAAAATTTGTTCGATGAAAAAAGAGAAGAAGAGAAAAAGAAATCTCTTATATTCACTGCCACATAATAATAATCCAACAGTTCTTGTTGAAAGATATACGTACCGTTGAGAACAAGAATGGTGTAAATCGGGATTCACCTCTGTTCCAAGAAAATACGATTTTTCTCTTTATTGCTTATCATCTACATATATATATATATATATATATATATATATGTATTCTTACGTATGTTCGATCAATGGAGTAGATACGATACATAGAAATATACGTAATACATAGAAATATATTAAAAACGATTCACAGGGTGAATTCACCCTGTGAATCGTTTTTAATATAATTGACCGATCGTTTCTTTCACAAGCGACATATATAAATGTGTTTCAAATGTAGTTTAATTTTTTTCTTTCTTCTTTTACTTTTTTCCCTTTTTTTTTTTTTTTTTTTTTTTTTTTTTTTTTTTTTTTTTTTTTTTTTTTTTCCATTGAATTAAAAAAAAATTCCATTAAGAACAAATAATTGATGTTGCCTTTATAGTTCAACGTTCGTTGCAATTTAAATATTTATTTCAGAATCGTCGTACTTTTTCTAAATAAATAATAGTAAAACTTTTGCAGATCGTATGTATTAATAAATATAAGAAAGCTTTAATAATAAATTATTAATAAGTAATTCATTTTATAAGAAAATATTTTATCAAATAAGTATGAATTTTCATTTAAAATTCTATTCTAATAAATCCATATAATGTATTGATAAACTTAAAAGAGAAATTCGTAGTTATCGTATATATGTACATGTACAATAATACGTATCTACGTACAATCATAAACCCGTTTAATTAATGAAAGTTATACATATATGTATTTATGCATATAATATATACGAATTGAATTGTTTCGAAAGTTATAACAGCGTAAACTACAATAATATGTTCTCTTACATTTTCTGTACTTGTTGATGCATATCCAAAATGTCTAGTAGATATTGCTGACAATCGGTAGTTGCAACTGATAACTAATATTTCGTCTTTGCATTGAAATAACGAAGCTTTTATTCATAGGTATTCCAATTTATATGTAACTTGTCAGAATTATATACGTTACAATATTCGTTAAAAACAAGTTTTATACTTTTTCCAGAATATGAAAAATCGAATATTTCATAGAAGCGTTC